AATAGTGGTAGTAGTACTAATATTAATAGCAATGGTAGTAGTAACACTAATAGTAGCAGTTATAGTATTAGTAGTACCAATAGTAGTAATAGTACTAGTAGTACAAGTAGTTGTAATAATAGTATCAGAATTAATAGAATTAAAAGTAGTAGTATCAATAGCAGCAGTACTAGTAGTAGTAATAATGGTAGTAATAGTACCAATTGTAGTAGTAATAGTATTCATTGTAGTAGTAGTAGTAGTGTTAAAAGTAGTAGTACCAATAGCAATAGCAGTACTGGTAGTATTAATAGTGTACGGTTATAAATAAAGGTACTTTGCAGGTACAGTTTTCATTCATCAAGGTACAGACTATGTAAATGTTCCCTCAAAGATAAAAACAGTGGTTGTAAGGTCCTGTGTACCATAAATGTGTACCATAATGTGTACCATAAATGTCCCCAGGTGAAAAGTATGTATTTCTACCTTTTCATAACCGAATGTTTTAAAACAGAACAATAAAATAAAAAGCCTGGAGATGAGACAGGGTGTGTCAATACAACACAGAAAATATAATTTCAATGGATTATGGTACAGTTATGTTCCCTGACTAAAGGTACTGAGATGTACCCTTGTGGGTCCCACCCCAGTAACAGTTCTGTACCTTCATTCTAACAGTAAGTAGTAGTACCAATACTAGTAGTCATAGTAGTAGTGGTAGTAATAGTTATTATAGTACCAATAGCAGTAGTAATAGTATTAATAATGGTAATAGTACCAATAGTAGTGGTATTTATAGTAGTAGTACCAATAATACTAGTAGTAGTAGTAGTAGTAGTAGTAGTCCTAGTACCAGTACTAGTAGTAGTGATAGTGGTAATAGTACCAATACTTGGGGTTTTTTTAGCACTAGTAATATTAATAGTAGTAGCACCAATAGTAGTAGTAGTACCAAAGCAGTAGTAGTAGTACTAATAGTAGTAGTAGTAGAAATAGTAGTCCTGGTACCAATAGCAGCAGTAGTGGTAATAGAACCAATAGTAGTGGTATTTATTTTAGTAGTAGTACCAAAAATAGTAATTTATAGCAGTAGTAGTAGTGTTGATAGTAGTAATAATATTAATACTACAGCAGCAGTAGTAGTAGTAGTCATAATAGTAGTACTGTCATTATAGATGTTTTTGTTGTTGTTTTGTTATTACTCTAGGATACTAATAATATGAAAAGATATGTTTTTGTGTTTAATTTTGTTGTTATTACTATTAATTCCTTAGTACAAAATTATACTGCAGGAAATCAAGTAAAATCAAGTTTTTAAAAAAGGAAAAATACTGAAAGTAAAACTGAATTAAAGTTCAGCATCATTATCCTGGAATGCTAATTGACCCTTTTAATGATCATTTTAAACTTGAGAACTTTTAAGGTCATTTTAAAAATGCACATGCTCACTGCACCATAATACATCCAGTCTTCGTTCCAATCATCTATTCCAAAAGTAATGAGTTCACAACCTGTCAAATGAAGTAAATGAAAAAGTTCATTTATTTACTTTGTTTATTATTTATTTTAACAAGGACTTACAGACGTACCATTAAATGGCCATGGATTGTAAGACAGTACTACTTCCACTTGTGGACAGAAAAATATGAAAGAAAACAGAAACGTCACTCCAGTAACACAGAAGTGTTAATTAAAACATTTCTCACTTCTGTCTTATTTGAATTGCTAATATCGACCCCTAGTGGTACAATTCTCTAATTACCCCTTCACTGCTGTGTAGATACTTCATTCAGTGGTTTATTTAGTTGGTTGAGATTATCAGTTGGTGATCAATTGGATTTTAATAGGGAGCCAACATAATCTGTTTATAATAATTGCTGTTCAAATATTCACTTTTTTAAAAAATAAATGAATGTAAATATCAGGGTCTTTTCTAAACATCTAGGAGCCCTAAGCAAAATCCAGTCAGGTGCCCCAGCTCACTCCAACCATAATATTTAGTGAAAAAGAGTAAAATGAATTAATACTTGAAGGAACAGTTTGGTGAAAAATCAAATATGCATGATTTTCCATTTGTTCCAAATGTCAAAAAAAACATTTAAACCACATTCAGGTCTTTATCCAGGTTGTCCATGTGGTTAAGAACATAGCTTAATTCTCTATAAACTACCAAAACAATCTGGTATCACTCCTTTCCTGAGCACAATTTGGTTTCTGATCTAAATCCTTTCCAACATCCACCATAGACTGATCCCACACACTTTTACCATCACTTCTCACCTGCACTTTAAATGCAGCTGATCAAATCTGCTAAGAGACCTCAGTGTTGTGGTTTATGTTTCAGCTGTGCATGTCAGTTCATCATCATTTGCTTGGTACCAGATTGCCAGCTTTAATAGAGCAGGTTAAGATTTCCTCACTTGAGATAAGATGCTATAAGATAAAATTCCTAAATTCAGATTTGCTTCTATAAAGCAAATTTTGAAAAATCTTATTTTGACCTGTCATATCTTAACAGTGATATATTCAACATTTTAAACATTAATATATCAGCAGACAACTATTTTCTATGTAAAAATGTAGCCAGTCCGGCCGTGTGTGCATGTTAGTCTCATTCTGTGAAAACGTTGGCCTTCCCCACATTTTGTTGTGCCTTCCCCAAACAGTGACCACACACACAGTGTACGTTCACAACAAGAAGCTGAGGGCATGGAATGTAATCATATCTGCTGCATCTTTAAGGTGGAATGGGAAAATTTGAACAAGAAGCTGGTGAAAAAGAAGCTGACTTCAGCTTCACTGAGAGTTTAAATGCATGAAAAGGGATGAGGAGGTCGCTCCTACTGGACATATGAGTAACATTAACTCATTTTTTGCTGTTTCACAGAGTCAATAGGTCAGTATTGCTTTGTCCTGTTTACAAATGTTTGTGATAGCAACTGGTTAGCTTCATAATATGGGAGGCAGACCAAACAGCCTCAGAAAAAATGTGAAAATGTTATACTGGTGTTTATATCAAGAATACACAATAGTTTTCTAAGGTATATGAACCAGTATATGCTCGACCAGGCTTGTGTTTGGTCTGATACCCCTTTTTTCTGAGGCCATTTGATATTTGCATGTTGGTCAACTTGAAAACAAAGAAGCAAAGTGGGAAATGAAAAGTATATCACCAGCAGGTGGTGCCTGCATTCGTTTGCATTTGTCTTTTCATTCTAACACTTAAAGCGCATCCACGCCAAAAACTGAAATGCAAACTGTCACTTTACTGTTGATTTATCCATTTTGCATCTTCATTTTAATTTTATTAGATACGCAGCCAATTGCTATGAAAAAGAAATAAGAACGTAAGCACTGCATTTTGATTTTAGTTTTGATATGTATTCTGCATTTCATGAAGAAAAGCCAAAGCCAAATTGAAGCTTGCATTTTCTTTTCTCTATTAGCGTTTTCATTTTAGATTTGGCCATGAAATACCAGAATAATGACTAAAATGAAATGACAAACAGCTGTTTTAAATTTATTTTTATTCTTGTCACAAATGGCTCATGCTCATGTGAAAAATGAAATTTCCAATGTAGGTATTTCATTTCATTTTCAATTTTGGCAGGATTTTTGTGCAGATGTTTGGAAATAGCAAAAAGAAGTTTTCTTTTACATTTTATCGTTTTAATAATTTCTGATTTTTCACCAAATCAGTTCACTGCTGGTTTCATAAATCATACACATTTCCATTGAAATTTATTCCAGCAGTGTTACTGTAGAACAAAAGTACCTCGGAGTTCAACTGGAGGACCTCCAAAATGGGCAGAAATTGCCAGGTGATGTCAAGAGGGTTAAATGTGTTTAAAAAAAAAGGTCTATCCATGCCATTTTATGAAGTCTTTATTTTCTTAATAATCAGCACAATTTGACACAAAAATATGAAGATTTTTTATATCTAATATTTAAGGAAAATAATATTTAAGGAACCAGTTTGGGTGACTACACTTCCAGTGTTGGTTGCACTGTTAGCCTAGCAACTACTAAAGCATAATTTAGATACCAAACCTGTCTTGGCTAATTCACTGCATTTGGGAGAAAATCCATCAATTTTTGTGGCAATAGATTCCTTTTTGAAAATGCTTAGAAAGTTATGATAAAACAATAATTAACATTAAGCAAGGTCAACAGAGTCTTTCAATAACAAAATTTACCAAAACATGACAAGTGCGCTCTTCAAGGGTTCCTTAGTAAAGTGAATGGTTCTCTTTGGAACCATGATTTCTATAAGGAACAATTTTTTAATGCTTAAATGGTTCTTTGCACGGTGAAATGGTTCTTCAGTTTGATGGAGAATTTGTTGTATATGGTTCTATATAGAACATTTTGAAAATAGTTCCAAAAAAACCAAAAGGGGTTGTTCTACTTTGACAATGTCAAACTTGTAACAATAGAAGGACACCTCTTTGATGTTCTACAGAACCATATGCAATGCATTCTCCAACAATCTGAAGAACGATTTCACCACATACAGAAGCATTTAGGCATGAAATAGTTCTATATAGAACTCATGATTCTAAATAGAACCATTTGTTTTACTAAAGCACCCTTGAAAAACTCAGTCATGATCGTGTGGAAGTCATCAATGACATTTTCATTAAATATTTTTCTACCAAGATCATGATTGATAAACAAAAAAAGACCTACGTATTTGAGGGGTCCTAAGCAACTGCTTATACCATATCATATCATGTTTAGCAGGAAACAGCCCTGCTGTTTTCCCTCTTTGCCCCAATGAAGGCCTTGCTAATTAGTTCACAAGTTAAATGAGGTTTATTTAATGAGGTAGAACACTGAACTGTGGAGTCCAATATATAACACAAGAACTTATCACTTATTGATGACTACCAGTAAGTAGCTCTCATGAACAATTACAGTCAACAGTAAAAAAAAAAGAAAATTATAGAGTTGCTGATTTCTGCCTTCTAATCAGTCAAATGACCACTGTGGGAAAGGCAGAGCTGGCCTTACCTGTTGAGGCCCCACCCATCTGCCAGGGCAGAGAGCAGCTTCTTCCCTGTCAGACTTCCATTCGGCCAGTCTGCCCTGAGGGTCAGGGCAGCAAAAAGAGGGAGAACTTCAAACCCAATGGAGTCCAGGCAGCTTGCAGGTAAAATGGGAGTCATGTTATGGACACCATTTCTTCAGGTAATTTGTCCATTCTTATAAATGTATTTTAAACTGGCAGTGTATAGAAAACTTCATTCACTCTTTATTTTCTAAATGGTTTGTGTCGGTAATAAATGTGTAGTTACATATTAACAATATAATTGTTAACAATGTAATTACACAAACTAAAGTTGATACATATGTGCATTTGCATTAAGCTGTACTACTATAATCCATCTATATCAATGAATACTTCACCAGTGGTCACATTGTTGTGGCATGCATTGTTAATGTGTAACTTCATAGTTATTACAAACACTTAATAAAAAAGCTAGAATGACCAAAGCTAGAATGTTGGCTACATTACTGTGTTATTTGTTGGCACCTTCTTGTGCAGATGCAGTGTAAGTACTCTCATAATGTAGATAATTACACACCTGTTACATTTAGAAAAGTCTTCTTGGAAAAAAAAAATGTAGTTTAACCTGTTACACATGTGTAATTACATAATAGATACACTTTATTACATTATTACATGAGTTAATACATAGTATTTACTTAAACTGTACCACTTAACAACTGAAGTTGCTGTTGCACTGTTGCTGCATGTATTGTTACTGTGTAATTACATAGTTGTTAACCTAATATCTCCGTTTTCAGTCATTCTTATGTGAGTGAATTTACTTTTAGAACTTCACTTAAAAATATGTGGTAATATGTAATTTGAAGGCTACCTGCATAGAGACTTCATAACACATGCATAAGCATTTAATACGCATACATACAAGTTAAATTACTTTAAAAATTAGCATTTATGAACAATTTATGCCAGCATTCACAAGATGAAATAAGATGTTTTATGCAGTAAATGATATTGGTGTTGATATAAAGGGCCCTAAAATAAAGTGATGCACATCTGTTCCTTTTATAAAACTGTTATAAAACATTATTACCCAGTAATGGCACTTTTAAGGAAGAAACCTAGTTAAGAACATTGTAAACAGTTACATGAAAGATTTTGATCTCCTCGTATCATTTTCATACATACTTTCCTGTATCATTTTAGTTTTAGGGCATTTTCTGTAGGCATCTGCTTAATAACAGTGTTATAAATGAGAGAACTATTTCTTCCATCTTGGGAATGCTGACATAAATTGTTTTTAAAATATCTTATAGATTGCTTATGCATGTGTTATGACATCCCTGGATATATAGATATAGATAGCCTGAAATAAGACAAACTTTATTTTTTCACCTGAATGGAATAGTCAGGCATATTTCCTATAACTTAAACAGAGAATGTTATCAAATCTTGCTTCCTCTGTTGCCATAATAATCAAAACCACAGCCCTTCCCATCATTAGTTAACACCTTCTGCAAATATTGATATGCTTAACTTTAAAGCTGATAGGATATGCAATCGATTTTGGAAGCCCAAATCAGAGTTCTAAATCAAAGAGGTTTGTATTTTAACATGGTCTGTTTTTAACACTTGTTCTGCTGGTTTGGGGCTAAATTGTGGTAAGACAGTGTTTTCATACCTCAGCCACACTGAGCAATATGACTCCAGCAATGACTCAGCAATATGAATCTATTTAAAACACTAGCTATATTTAACAGAGGCCAAATGTTGCTCTTCATTTATTGCCAGTACAGAAATTCTGACAAATCAGTAGCTTATAACACAATAAGTGTAAAATAATTGGCAAACCAGTGCACTACTCACAAACGAAGTCTTTCCAATGGTAAACTGTGAGCTAATCCTTCAGCTAAAACCAAAAATGTCAGTACTCACTTAAAAGCGAAGAAAAAAAAAAATCTCTAAAACTCTAACAATACTAATATCTGCTAGCACCCCTATGGGATTCTAGTAGTATGTTAGGACTAAACCAATAGTAATTCACATAAACATTTTTTGGCAATTCAAGATTAAACAAGGAGATTTGACATTTGTAACAGAAACATTAACACATTTTTTTTACCATGAATGTTGCTTCGAACACAATACTTATAACATAATTGACATACCTATGCATTACAAATGCATTCTTTTCAGTGGTGAAGTGTGAGCTTAACCCTCAGCTAGAACCAAAAATGTCAATACTCAGTAAAAAACAAGGAAAAACCCTAAAAAACCTCCAATGAGGCTAATTTCTGCTAGCACCCCTATGGGATTCTAGTAGTATGTTAGGACTGAGCTAATAGCAATTCACAAGAACATTTTTTGGCCATTCAAGATTCAACAAGGAGATTTGAAGGTTGTAAAAGACACATTAACATCGGTTCACTGTGGATGTTGCAGTTTCTTTCAGTAAATAGTCCTGGCATAGAGCTGCTGCTGCTGTTTATGTTTCTAATAACTCACTGAAACTTGGTTAGGCTTTGGCTCATATTCACAGAAAGTAACATATCTAGAACTTCCAGATGATCGAAATTTGAAATGTGACTGGTTGATTCTTCTGTCACTGCCAACATACAAGTCCTTCAGTTCAGGTGCCTGAAGTCCTAACCAATGGGATGGCCTCGTTAGCTGTATGTTCCATAGATACCATGGAGAAAATAAAAGCTGATTGGGTCATTTTCTGGTGGTATTAAACTGAGTATGTCTACAATGCTTCTAGAATTTAAATCTGATGCTATTTAAAAAAAATAAAAAATAGTACAGACAGTTTTTGCCACAGAAATCATTAGGCCTTCTTTGATGGCCTAGAATGCATTGAGAGTTCTCCACTGATTCTTCCATAGCTACTGTTCTTCAGTTCGACAATCCCATTCAATCTGAAACATTCCAAAACTCATAAATTTAGATTGTGTTATTAATTTCAAGTGATTTTACTTTGTGATCATGTGAAAGGCCACACTGTTAAGGTAGATCGGGTGTAGTTTTTAATTGTTTGTAATTTAGTTGTTAAGATGGTGGTACATTTTTTAATTTTGTGTAGTTGCGATTAGCTATAATGACATAGACCAGAGCATTGTAGACAGGAAAGTCAACATCATGTAAAGAATCCAATTTTCACCTACATTAATTAGAGTGAATGAGTTTTTGCCAACATTCTATAAAGACTGCCCAACTTTGCAACAGAAACAATGCATTTGTGGGTGCATGGATATGCCGTGGATAGGTATCTCACGAGGACAGATGTGATCTCTGTTATGGGACATAAACCTGACAAGCTAGCTAGCAAAACACCATCATTAGCTAACATTCAGCCTCCAAACTAACTGTTTCAGGAATACCATTTGGTTTAGTTTTGTCAAAGATGTTTGATGCACAAAATTGATTCCATGAAACTGTTGTGTTGTGAAGAGAGTAACCCAAGTTAGTCAAATCTTCTGAAGCCATAATATAGTCTGGTTGAAAAGAATGGTTTTTTCCCTTCCAAGAGTTCCAAGGTAGTTTATTTTACTACAGGTTGTACTTAACGGAAGGTTTTCAAGGACTTTTCCTTGGGTTAACAGCAAGTTTGTTGGCCACTGAACAATGTTGATGAGCGCAACTTTGATCTCCAAGGAGGAGGATTGGATTGATTTAGAAGTTTCACACTTTCAGTTTGTTCACAGCCTAATAATCTAGGTTTCCACCAACATTTAGCCCAGAATTTCTCAAGGTTGTCCCTAGATGTTCTCATTACAGCATATATCCCCCCATGAGCATAGGATAGAAATAGCTTTTAAGCTAATTTAAGCTAATTTGTTTTTTTTGTTTTTTTTTTTCACATATGTCCATGTCCAGGCCTTTTCTGCTTCAGGATAACACAATGAGTGGGCAGTGGTGCACTGCTGATCTGTCTGTTTTGGATCTTTTTCATGTTGATAAAACTCCTTGTGTAATCAGGCTGAAAATGAGCTGCTATCAGACAGAGGGCAAACAAACCAGCAATCTACAGTTCACCATGTAATTAGCTCAGGCATTGAGATCATAGCAGGTTAAATCAAATGCACTTGGTAATCTGCCTTTATGCCCACAAAGGAGTGTGGAGGAGACAGGCCCAGTTGTCTGGGCCTCCACACTCACCCGAGACCATTTGAAACCCGTAATTTAATAGCCTAAGTACATTTATTAGTGGTAATGAGTGTAGAAAGGGGGTAGGAATTCGAGATTGTCGTGTTTGTAGAAAAGAACTGTTTGAATGTCATTCTAGGCACTTGAGTCTGTGATCGATTCTATGCAGCTTTGAGGAATAAAGGCCAACATGCATTGGGAAAGTGGGATCTTGAGAGAAACAAGAAGGATTCTTAAAGCCTCAGGGGACCTACAACTGTGTTTTCTTTCTAATTAGGTTGTGGGTGCATGATATGCATGTACAAAGTATGCCGACGGAACAATATTCCAGTGTTCAATAAATGATGGATGTTTTTGCCCAAATTCTCTGCTTTCGATGTAAACAGTGTGGTGCTCATCTTTCATCTTGGGTAGCATTTATCCAGTGGGTGCTGCTGTTGCCTCACAGCAAGAAGGGCCTGGGTTCGAGTCCCCGGCCAGGCAACCAGGGTCCTTTCTTAGTTTGCATGTTATCCCTGTGTCTGTATGGGTTTCCTCACATAGTCCAAAGACAAGCAGTGAGGCCAACTGGCCCTAGGTGTGAATGTGTGTGTCTGTGTGTCTGCCCTGTGATGGACCTGCAACCTGTCCAGGGTGTTTCCTGGGGTAGGCTCTGGCACCCTTTGAGATCCAGAAGGATAAGTGGCATAGAAGATGGATGTTTGGAGCCAGATAAGCTTACTGTACAAAAGCTAACAACCAAGCAAAAGCTAAACTAGGAAGCATAACTGATCTGTCAAGCTAGCTAGGAGTGTTGGACTGAAAGGTTCTCCTCATTAGAATACTAGGACCATGGCCTGGTCAGTGTTTTTATGCAGCGTTTTATAGTTTTGCTTTACTAGATGTTTAATATAACATTTAATCTTAGCATCAAACGAAGTTTTAACAATTTAAACTGTAATTTTCCTCCGGCTTTAATTTGCAGCTGCTTGGTCGATACACAGTGGCGGAGCAGAAGAGGAAGGGGCCGTGGCCTCTTACACCCCACCCACATCACCCGGGAGAGTGCGTGCGACTGAGGAAACAGGATGTGGTCCTCTAGTCTCCATTACCAAACATGAAAAGGTGGGATATTGATAAATAGTGTGGTTTGTTGCATTCTGTCAATCAGTATATCAATATATCTTTTATTTTTACTTATTTTAATTAGTTTCAAATAAATTTCTAGTGCAGTTGTCTTATGGTATAGGCAGATAATCCTGCTTGTTTAAATATTATTTCATATTTTTTTTTTGTCTTGACAAATTAGCTCTAATACAGTTCAACACTTTTCTTTCTAAGCAAGCCAGCCTGTCCATATTCATCTGATCCTCAGGGTGACCATTGGTCATGCGACAGCTCTGCTTCTTCCTCCGAGAGTGAGGACGAGGACAGTAAAGCCAGAAGGAAGAAAAAGAAGAAGCTGAAAAAGAAGAAGAGCAAGGTGATTAGACACATTCGACCATGTTTTATTCATCTTCTGCACATTTTCTTCTCCATAAATCATATGAAATTCTTAGTGCGGCAGGCCGAGGCTTCTGCAGATCCACAGAAGAGCAGAAGACTCAGGGTATTCTGGATTCGGGATGGATTTGTGAATTTGTAAAACATTTGCCTCGGATTTTTTTTCCACTGCTGTCAGAGGCAGGTTTGACTTGAGAGCGCATGTTTCACATCATTGGATGTCAAAACTGGTGCTTTAGGTTATTACTCCTACCAGCCCAATGTATTCAGCTCATTTACAATGAAAAACACACAGGGACGTACTGCGCAGATGACAATATGCTTTCACAGGAATACATACAGCCTTCTTTTCCACAAGCTCAGGCTGTGGGCGCATATATATATATATACATGTCCCATTTTACCCACATCTAAGTGCTTTCTCATTCATTTGAGCAATAGGTGTGTCTTTTTTTGGTAAAATCAACCATATATCATTACAAATGATGCAAATAAACATTAATGCAGTGAAAAGTAAGAATGACTCTTTACAAAAAAAGTAGTTGAAATCTTTGAAGAACCAAGTTTGGCTTCACATTTCTTCAAGATGCCTCCAGCCATCATATAGATTTGTTAAATTCCATCAGCAGCACCCTTGATTGAACTTAACAAAGCATTGAGGGAAAGTTTGTGAATGTTGCTATGCGGTTGCTTTGGTGTCCCAAGTTGTTCCTAAGGTGTTGCTAGGTGGTTCTTATGCTATAAAATACACTGGAAATCTTAAATGCACTTCTTCTTTAAATCCCCTGCCACCTTAAATTCAGGCCTCTCTTAAATTCACTGCCACTTTAGATTTAGTGCTACGTTAAATGCACTGCCACCTTAAATCCATTGTTTGTGCTGTTATTGCTGTGCGTTAAGCTGCAAGTGAGCAGTGATTTTCTGTACATCAGTGTGTTTGTTTAGCCATTTTCAAAACTGTTCTCAAGGAAGCCCACTATTATTAAGCCCACTATTATTAAATTGGCTTGGAAAAGCCAACTTACTGTTCTTTGTAATCTTCTTATTATTATTTTTCTATGCTTAAATTTTTTAAGCGTATGTACTGTGTGTGTGCTGTGTATGAGTGTCTGTGTGAGAGACCTGCCTCGTGACATCACTTGTGGAAGTTACATTTGAATGTCCCAAACATTCCACCATTCATTTTAATGGGAAGCATTTCATATTTGAACCATGATTTTTCAAAAACTGTATGTCAGATCAGTCCAAAAAGCACAAGTGCACTTTACCCATGTATGAGGAACATTTGTGCAAAATTTGGTCATTATACATCAAAAACTGCAGACCATAAAAAGTTTTAAAAAATAAGCGTAGAAAAATAATAATAAGAAGAAGATTAACAGTAAGTTGGCTTTTCCAAACCAATTTAATAATGGTGAGCTTAATAATAGTGGGCTTCCTTGAGAACAGTTTTGAAAATGGCTAAACAAACACACTGATGTACAGAAAATCACTGCTTACTGTATTAATATTATTGCCTCATTGTTAATTAATGTAATTTTTTTTTCTGTGCAAATAAAATCATTTTTGTACAGCATTGTATGTATGTAAGCACCTATAAGTAAACATTTATCCTATATGCATCATACATCAACATGCATTTAAAAGAAATAGGGTACTTAGATATACATAACACATTGGTGACATTATTATTACATGTGGACACAAACACACACACATATATATATATATATATATGTATTGTGTATGTCTAAAGCAATCAAACTCTTTTTCCCTACAGAGGTTCCGGTCATCCTCCGCTTCCAGTAGCTCCTCAGACAGCGACAGCAGTGAGGTGAGCAAATGAACCAGAGAAGAGGCGACGCATGCATACAGATAATCACTGAGCCTTTTGAGCAAACTATTAATGGAACAGCGCAACAAGCCATCAATTTTCCAATATTTCTCCTTAACTTAAATATACTCGATCAGGCAAGTTTATTGTCTGAATTTTTTTAGTTTCACACAAGAGCTATGAGGTTAATGTAGCTAACACATCATGAAAGCTTATACCACATCAAATACCATGGTGCTATCTGATTGTCTAAATCATCACACAGTCGTCAAGTTGTTAAGTAACGTCAGATCGACTTGCTCATGTGGTGTCCAACAATATCTGACATATTGTTACCTTTTAAAAATGGACAACATTACAGACAAAGCTCTTCAAGATGTCCACTACTGGTGTTTTAGCTATGCTACTTAATCTTGTCTTATAGATATCGCAATGTCATACACAGTCAGGAAAAATATATATATACATCTCTTTGAGATTACTTAACAACTCAGCACTGTGATGATCTAGGCATGCAGCTTGCACAATGTTAACTTGTAGCTAGCTTCCATCACTTGTTTGCTAAATTATCCTGGCAACTTGAATGCTTCAGACACCAAACGTCTTAGCTGATTGGTTACGTTTGCGGTACAACTAGTAGAAATTTGACTTTCTGACCTTCTTGATTCAAATATGCTAATGCTCATAGCAATACATGAAGTGCCACAGGGACCAGCTAGCATGATTTCTATTAAATCATGCTGATAAGCATCTTTTACCTTTTGCTGATGATCAGCTTTTGTACTTAAAAGTGACTTGGCACCAGTTTTTGACAAACCCACCAATCCATTCCCACAATGCACCCTTTTCAATGGACTGAAAGCGTATTTCTCAACAGGATGAAAGAAAAAGAAGGAAAAGGAAAGAGAAGGGCGTGACGACAATCATACCTGAATCAGGTGCAGCACAAAACACATTCACACATGTTGATTTCATTTCCAATCAAAACAGTCGTTAAGCCAATTTATTCATATAGAAAAAAACAAGCAGAAAAGATTTATTTATGAAAAGATTATGCAGGAGCCTCAACAACAAAATACACAGTCAACATGTTCAGTATTGAGTGTGGCCATTCTTTACCTTTATTACAGCTTCCATTCTTTTCAGTTTTTCAAAGAAATCTGCAGGGATATTTTTTCCACATCTCCAAAGTTCAGTCTTAGAAGTTGGTTGCACTTTCTGTTCCTCATGATCCAAGTATTCTCAAACTCATTCAGTTATTTTGAGGTCTGGACTCTGGGGTGGTCACTTTTCCTTTGAGTTTCTCCTTCTTTATGCAAGTGGATCATCTTATATCTAACTTCCTTAGAAACATCTTATGAACACTGTACTGTACGCTTCTGTGAATACATATTCATACATCAATGCATGTATGCATGCCATCATTACAATGTAAAATTCATCTAAATTATTATTTTATTGCATAAGTCATTGGACAGGGACACATTTTTGTGTTACTTACTACAACTTTGGGCTTTAAATGAAACAACAAGTCAGTTAAAGTCAGTTTTGTATTTGTGTTACATTGTATTTGCATCCACAATACATGAACCATGACAAAAGAAACAGCTTACAAACTACACTGTATCTCTGAAAATGTTTCCTCAACTGTTGACCAATATTCCGTTTTTATATTAGAGTAAATTTCTCATCAATCTACAGCCTGCCACACCTGCCCAATCAGAAAGGTTCTTATCTTACATTGTGAAATGAACTGCCCTGTGTACACACAGTCTGAAACACACCCTTCGAGTTAAGTATTAACTCTCACAATAGCCTCATGTTCAATAACTTTTTTTTAGAAATATACTGAGATTTCCTTTGTCTTTACACTGTATAAAATAGAGTGGGACAGAACCCACATTATATCTTTACTATACATTTTTAAAGTATTTGAGCAAGGTAAGTAGCCTACATAAGTAACCTACACATCGCTGTTACATGTAAAAATGTAAACGTTGTTTCCAGCAACTGCTGTTTAAGAAGAAATCAGTCAAAGAACATTGTTACTGAGCTCTACTAAAGCCTGAGTAGACTGATAAATCAATGTGATCGGTTATTAATCTCAGCGTTACTGAGCTCTGCTAAAGCCTGAGTAGACTGATAAATCAATGTGATCAGTTATTAATCTCAGTGTTACTGAGCTCTGATAAAGCCTGAGTAGACTGATAAATCAATGAGATTATCAGTTATTAATCTCAGTGTTACTGAGCTCTGCTGAAGCCTGAGTAGACTGATAAATCAATGTGATCAGTTATTAATCTGTGTTACTGAGCTCTGCTAAAGCCTGAGTAGACTGATAAATCAATGTGATCGGTTATTAATCTCAGTGTTACTGAGCTCTGCTAAAGCCTGAGTAGACTGATAAATCAATGTGATCGGTTATTAATCTCAGTGTTACTGAGCTCTGCTAAAGCCTGAGTAGACTGATAAATCAATGTGATCAGTTATTAATCTCAGTGTTACTGAGCTCTGCTAAAGCCTGAGTAGACTGATAAATCAATGTGATCAGTTATTAATCTCAGTGTTACTGAGCTCTGCTAAAGCCTGAGTAGACTGATAAATCAATGTGATGATCAGTTATTGATTCCACCTTATTAAACTCTTTTGAGGGGAACTGCAGTGTTTTCAGTAGTGGGCATCTTCATGAATGATTGTGGAAGCAGCAGTGGGGCAGTTGATAAGCACAAATAAAAGTTGAGAATTTTTTACTTCATACAAATAATAAGCAGAATTTTCATTAAACAAATTTACATCTGAGTTACATAAAGAAAACTGTCGACAAATAGCAGTGTTCATGTTTCATTTTTCTCCACTTTAGGTTTCACCCTGCTATGCAAAAGTAATAAAAAGAACATCAAAACACACCTTGGGTTCATCCTAAAACTGGTTTCTATATCAACAAAGTGATGTAGAGTCCAAGGATTTTAATTACCGCTCTTGCCATGCTCAAAAATCTCTGACTTATTGTTTTTTGGGATCTTTATTCTGTTAATCACATCCAGTTAGCGCTTACAAATCAATTCTCTTCTTCGTTTTTTGATGTGATGTGAAAGGGTTTTTTTTTTTTTTTGGCCCAAAAACAGTACAAATAAAACCATTTCAAAAGCATTGGTGGAAACTGTTGCCTTAAATTTTCAAATGTAGGCCAAAAACTTCATTTTCTACAGTGTAGCCAATAATTAATCAATTCCCCTTTTTTGGCTCCCTATTTGGAAATGGGAAGTGTCCTAAAATGTTAGGAACCAGCCTTTTCAGCCTGAAGAGAAATTGTAGAGAGATTTGTCAAAACACATTATTCCTTCAAATTGGCACACTACAATTCACTGTTGTCAGAAGAAAACTTTGTATCTTCAAAATGGTAACTTTACAGGAGAAGGAAAAAAGCTTACTTTACTTTTAATGTAAGTCAAAGGAACCAGACTTTTTTTCCAAGTCATTTTGTGTCATTTCTTTGAGTCGTTTCTTCACAAAATTTACACGCAATGCAAAGGGTAATAGGCTTTTTCAAATTATGTCAAAAACTGAAAATGTCAAAAATGGACATACAAGGTTTTCGTCCGACAGCAGCGACTTACAGTGTGTCACTACATAACATTAGGTTCCAGAAACAAAACTAGGCAGACGGGAAATGACTGATGAATTTGCCACCTTGCCAATGTTAGCTCAAATAAACAGCAAAAACCTACAAAAGTAAATATCTATTAAAGACCAATGAGTTCTAAACTTAGTTTTTTGAGAAATACCATGTTACAAACTACAGTTTCTAATTAGGCTGAATAAACCTCTGAAGTTGTGCATCATTCTGTAGTCATCATGTCCATATTTGGAACTCTTGGAAGTTTAGGCTGGTTTTCTCTAACTGAAAAATGAATTGAGTTTTCAAAAATCTCTGCTATCACGTCCAAAATGTTCCAAACCCTATAAATTTTGCTGAATTCTCCAAAATATGAGGTCCTTAAGGAGCCACAAATATAAAGTTTGCTACATTCAGGCTATGTTTCTCCAAAACACCCCACACAAACCACCAAGCTTTACCAAATATGTTAGTTTACAGGCTTAGACTGCACTATCCGAAAAAAAGGCATGATACGGTCACTGGGGCTGTACCACTGGGGTGGAACCCTCAAGGGTGTATCTCAGTACCTTTAGTCAGGGAACATAACTGAACCATAATCCACTGAAATGATGTTTTTCTAAGTTGTATTGACTCCACACACCCCGTCTCATCTCCAGGCTTATTTTATTGCTCTGTTTTGAAACATTCTGAAAAGTTACAAATATATACTTTTCACCTGGAAAAAATTATTTAAGGTTCACAACCAGACCTTTGAGGGAACATTTATATTGTTTGTACCAGCACAGAGCCTTTATTTCTAACAGTGTGTAGTTTGAGTAGTTGTTGTTGGTATAACGATGATGGAGTTTAATAGTAGACTTTCTTTCCTGCAATGTCAACATTAAATGTAGGTGCATTAGCTTGTTTCATTTATATTCATATTTTGACTGCTAAATGATCTCGTAATCCAGAGCATCCAGTGACTACATATATTAAGTTTGGAACATTTTTGGTTATGAAACGGTGATTTTTGAAAAATGTCTAGAGAAAAATTGTTTATAGTTACTAATAAGGCCAAATCATCTACTACAGAATGACGCATGACTTCAGAGGTCTAAGGAATTCTAGCCAGTGTTCTGTAAAGCTTGTCCAACCTCGCAACAATAGCTACGAAGAGCACATTTGTGGGAGGAGCCAAATATTGCAGAATCTGTTGTAGAGGTGAATTTTAGGCCCTACATTATAGCTGCACTGTGTCATGCAGCACAGCATACAATGAGTTTTACTCTATTGCATTATGTCTGAGTCTCATATTGCATTGCCTTCATATTCAGCAATGTGTCATTGCTTTCCAGTCAATATAATGGATCACTCCATCAACTATGGCCACAGCACACACACACACACACACACACACACACACACACACACACACACACACACACACACATACACACACACACACTCGCAGTGGGAAGTGCTGCCCAAAATGAAACTCACAGGTGCCACAACATGATGAGTGAGACTTTCACCGGCCTTATTTTTCAATTACAGGAGCTGTAGATGGATAATATTGTGCAGTACCATGCGCACAGCCCCCCACTCCCCACACCCCCCAACCGCACACACACACACAATGGTTTGTTTTCACACAGTGTTAGGATGTGGAAGCATGTTGCCCATGTATTATGTATACAGGCCTATTTCCAGACCCAGGTTAGGTCTGAACCTAGAATAAAAATGGCAAATTACCATTTACTTGAAGTACAATTTCACCCACAAGCTTAATCCATGTCCAAAAAACTGGTCCTATGTATAATGTGCCTCGTATGTATTACACAAGTACCTATTTGTAACAATAATATGTCACATGTATCTGACAAAAACACATGTATTACCAAAATGGTGGTAGAAAACTTTTCAGAAGATGAAAAAAGCTTTCTTAACTTCCAATGGAAGTATAGAATCTTTTTGAAAAGGGTTCTACATAGCACCAAAAGGGTTCTTCTATTGTTACGATGTCAGGTTTGTTACAATAGAAGAACCCAGTTTGGTGCTATATAGATCCCTTTTCAAAATGTTTCTACATAGAACCATCTACAGCACTTTCTCCATCAATCTGAAGAACACTTCAACAATGCAAAGATCCCTTTAATCATGCACGGGATTCTTTGAATGTTCACGGTTCATTTTGGAACCGTTTTCTTTACTAAAGAACCTTTGAAGAAACATCACTTGTAAGTGTGCAGATTATGACAACTTAAAATCCAACTTAAAATCCAAATTTTGATTCATCAGATCAAACAACAGTTCTTCACTTCACTTCAGTCCAACCTAAATTGAGTTTGGGCCCAGAAAAGGTGGCAGCATTTCTGTATCTTGTTTATTGTTTTAACCAACCATGTTACTGACCTGTTGCCAATTAACCACCAGGTGTGTTTTTTTTTTTAGAATTAAACAATTTTACCAGCCTTTTGTTGCTCCATACTAACTTTTTTGAAGTATGTTGCTGACATCAAATTCAAAATTGGCACATATTTTTCAAAAAACACTACAATTTCTCAGTTTCAACATTTGATATTGTTCTATTTTATTATTGTATTATATTATATTGTTCTAGGCTTTACATGATTTGAACAGCATTGCATTCTGTTTTGTTTACATCCCAATGTTTTTGGAAACTGCAGTGTAATTTGTTTTATAGCACAGGGTTAATATAATCCAGATTTGTTTCTACAGTTTCTTTTATAGCACAAGACTAATAAACCTGGGGTTATTTCTACAGTTTGTTTCATATCACAGAATTAATATAACCTGTTTTTTTTCTATGGTTTGTTTTACAGAATGGGTTATTAATTAATAATTAAAGTTATTAATATGATAAATATATTTCTACAGATATTTTAAGTAGCTTGAAGGTTTAACTGATTATGTAGAAAAAACATGTTTTTTTATTATTGTCATTCCTTCATTCTGTGCTTCAGCCCCCAGTTCTGCTTATTACTGAAGACAAATCCGCTCTTTAGGAATCATTGAGTACGAGTGTGAATCTGTGTCTTTTCCTGCCTGCGCTGTGTTTAGCTGATGACTCAGCAGTGTGTCCTCCGTGTGTCCCTCAGGCCTGGTGCTGGAAATAGTGTTAACACCACTGAAGGAGCAGAACGATGAGCTGGAGAGGAAGAAAGCAAGAAAAGACAGTGCTAGAGTAAGCACCTCTGCTGCTGCAGGCTCGGTGTGGGTTTGTGTGTTTGTGTGTGTGTGTGTGTGTGTGTGTGTGTGTGTGTGTGTGTGTGTGTGTGTGTGCATGCCTGAAAAATATTTACTTATATATCAACATTTCTGTATCCAGTCAAGTCCAGATTCCTTTCCCAAAAAGGTTCATTATCTACATTGGGTTTTGTTTGTTTGTTTGTTTGTTTGTGTTTAGTTCTTTTCCCAGAACTGGCAAACAAAGCGAAACAAATAAAAACTGTATGTCTCTGAACGATCAAATGAAAAAATAAATAAATATATAAAAACCATAAAATTATAAAAGAAAAAAAAATTGCATCTATGTCTCTAAACAATAAAATAATAAATACAGCATAAAGAAAATAAATAAATAAAATGAACACAAAAAATGACCACTGTCCACATGTCATTAAATAATAAAATAAAACCAAAACAAAACTGAAAATAGAAAATGTCCTAAACAAAAAATGGCAAAAATGAAAAAAAAGTAAATTAAACCTGCTCTACTTTGTCTAAACAATAAAACAAAAAATAAGAAACCAATAATTAACCATATAAAGTTATATAAACACTGTCTCTATGTCTCTAAAATTAAATAAACTAAAAATACAAATAACAATATAAAAGTACATAAACTGCTTATATGTCTTTACAAATAAAAACTAAATAAATAAAAACTAAATAAATAAATAAATAAGGATATACAACCTGTGCATGTGTCTAAACAACAAAATAACAAGCAAAAATTACAATTCATAACATTAAAGTAAATAAAAAGTGTCCATATTTCTCTGAAAAAATCCAATAAAAATAAAAAATCATAAGTACAGCATAAAAAGTAAATAAAAAACTGCCTCTGAAAATAAATTTAAAAAGTAACAAAAAAGTATCCATACACTGTATTTGTCCTGAAATATAATTAAAAAAATATAAATAAAGTATATATATATATATATATATATATATATATATATATATATATATATATATAGTCACTGCCCAAATCTCCAAAGTTGTAACTTTACAGTAGAGGCCAAAAACTTACTTTCAATGTAAGTCAATGGAAGAGATTTTATTCCAAGTCTTTTTGGAGCATTTCTATTGGTCCATTCATTGTGAAATTATTAATTATTGTAAAGGACGGCCACTGTGTTCAAATGATGCAGAAAATTACAAATCAACTAAAATTGAGATACATGTTTTTTCTTTGGACAGTGACGATATTTAGCCACAATTATCTTCAGAATAAAAATGCATTTGAGGATAAAACTCCCAAATGCCCCAATAAGTATGAACATAGTGAACCAGTCTGTTTGTGTTGGTGACTCAGATGTTCTGGCCGAGATCAATGGCACAATGAATGCCATCAAGCAGCAGCACATTTATCTGAAACACTTGCTCAGCTTTTCAGGGAACCTGAGATTTAGCTGGACCTTCTAGATTTAGATTGCTCTGAGCAGACCTCACAATCAATACAGTAATAGTTCACTGAGAGCGAGACTTGTTTTGACCCAGGCCTTCTGAGGTTCTGCTCAGTGTTTGATGTTTAAAACTTTGCACTGAACTTTAAGTGCCCAAAGCTGAAGATATGAAAGATCTTGAAAGGTTCTATTCTAAAAAAAAATGTTCCAAATGTTTCTCCAGCTCAAATGAACCTCATCAAATGTGACTATTTAGCATGTATAAAATGTGGATGCCAAGCCTGCTATGAAGAGAAATGCAGGTCACATTTCAGTCTGAACAGTATAACGCCCTTGTATTCAATACATTAAGCTTTAACAAGCTGGTAATTAACTGGCTGCTTATTACTACGTTATTAAGATCTAAGTAATGCAAATTAAACATTTTCCAAATTGTGTATCTTAAGCTTTTGTACATTGTAGAAATTCTTTATTATGCCAATAATTGCTTATTACAACATTATTAAGCCATAACCACAGTGAATTTAGCTTTTTTTTCAGGGCACATATATCTTTTGAACAAACATTTTAGGCTTCAGTTATTATGCTGTTATTATGGCATGTCAAGCCAATAGCCAATAATTAACCGGTTGCTCAGTATTACATTATTAAGCAGTAACTAGGATGAATTAAGCATTTATTAAGCATTTTCCAGAATGCCTTATCATCATAATGTTAAATATTAAGCGTAATATTAAACTATATTAAACATTAAGTAACATTTCACTCTATTACCACTACTATTATACATTACTACTTTATTACTGATTAGCATTACTGAATTGCCAATACATTACTACTTACTACTACTGTTTATTTGCTACTACATTTCTACTTAATACTATTACTGAATTACTACTACCTTACTACCTTCTACTACTGAATTCCAGCTATGTCATTACTATTATTGAAAGTACTACTATATTAGTACTTATTACAGCTTCTGAATTAAACTGCATTGGTTCTTACTACTTCTGAATTGATACTACATTAGTAATTAGTATTACTGAATTACAAATACATTATAACTTACAACTACTACTTAATACTGCTGAATTATCATAATAGTGCAGTTTATTACTATTGTATTCCAACTACATAACAAGTTATTAACAGTGCTTCTTACTACTGCTAAGGTACTACTACATTGCTACCTGCTACTACTGCTGAACCATTACTGTATTATTATTGACAATAACTGCTGCAGTAGCTATGTCACATGCCAATTCTGTGACTGAATAGGCCCTTTCCACAACGTGTGTAAACACTGGGCTAAAGACGTTCCACTGTTGCCTTACGGACAGTTACTAACCTCAGAAATACAAGGATTGTATCACTTCAGCCACCACAGAAATATGTGTCACTTTATCTTTGTCATAGCTGCCAAGATTGAAATTCGAGAATGTGTGCAGAGCTGTTGGAGAACCAAACACAGATCAATGCGGGAACCCAAACTAAATAAAGGATATAAATGATTGGTGGAGAGATTCCTTCACAGCTATTAGAGTACAGTAAAGTCAGCTAACATCTACAGAACGATAAATCGATGGATTGGTGACAATAACTATAACCAAAATGCTAGATTAGCCATGTTAGCTGGAGATGTTGAAAAAGCTTGCTAAAAAATAATCGAGTAAGCAAAAACACAAACACATGCTGGCAGTGAGGCTTGCCAGGTCATCATGGTCCGTAAGACCACCGTAGACGTACGCAAACACTAGCTCCACTGAACGAACATCTCCTCCCCGCTGACCATTTGCTTTCTCAGATACCAACAGCTATTGAGGGAGAAAGTGAAAACTGTTCCTCTGAAAGTGGCTGTAGCAGCAACTTCAAAGCAAGAACTGCATGTTAACGTTGGTCCTCGTGCTGAAAAAGAGTTTCCTTACCTACGTATAACAATGTTTATTCCTTTATTAATTGCGTAAATTCATTTTCCTCTGCTCATCATCAGCTGACAAACCATTAAAACTGAGATGAGGCTGTTTTTGTTTCAAACTCTAACACTCGAGTGAGCTGAACACGCTCCACTCGTCATCACTGTTAATGTCATTGCTTTAGCAGAAGTAGCAGTACCCTGCAACGAGGACTTCCAGCAGAAAAAATGCGGAAATGTGAAAAGGGCCTATTACGAAAGATCCATTCACACCTGGTCAATTGATGCATCTTGAGATTTAGGATTATATCTAAGTCCCCAAAGTTTGCAGAAATGCAAACTTTGCAATTGCATGCAATTTGCATGCAAAATTTCGCATTTCGAGGCAGCAGCCATCCTTAGCATAGCACAGGAAGAGGCTGAATGGATAAACAATTGGTAATTGGTTGCCATGTAATGAGCAGACTGACATCACACAGCAATTGGATTATAGTCCAAACAACCAGAGACGTATTTGACTGTTAAGTGTAAATGCATGTGGCTAAAGTCATATCAGGAGACGACCCAGATACCAGTCACCTGAAGTGACCAGGTGTAAATGGGGTCAAAGTCTTCTGGTCTTCCATCTGATCTTCCACTGGGTGTACAGACATCATTAATTGAGATATAAGCTCTCCCACAGTCTGGAAAACAGCAGTGACTCAGTCATTGTGTTGTTTGTCTTCTACAGTCTATTTTGCTCTATTTCATCAATGGTGCCAATAACTCTGGGCCTGACTGTACATCTTCATCTCTTGCCCAGAAGAAGAAAATGAAGAAGAAGGACAAGAAAAAGCGAAAGAAGAAGAAGAAGAAGAAGAACAAGAAGAATAAGAAGAATAAGAAGAAAAATAAGAAAAAGAACAAGAAGAAGAAGGTAAGCAGCGTAAAAAGAGGATGCGTGTTCTTTTCTGCTGTGGTAAAACGTAAACTTTTGGATTTCTCTCTCTCTTTCCCAGGATTCCAGCTCATCTTCCTCATCTGATAGCTCTTCCTCGGACAGTGAAGATGAGGAAAAGAAAAAGAAGATGAAAAAGAAGGCCAAGAAGAAAAAGAAGGTAAGAAACTGGCCTAAAAAATAATATATTTATATTTTTTGTCTTTAGTTTTGTTTGTTTTAGTAAACTTGTATTTTTATGTGATGATGCTTAGGATTCGTCCTTCGACAGTTCCAGCGAAGATGAAAAGAGGAAGAAAAAGAAAAAGAAGGAGAAAAAGAGGAAGAAGAAAAACAAGAAGAAGCAAAGGAAGAAAGATAAGAAAAAGGTAAAGCAAAGAAAGGCATATTTATCGCATGTGACTTTAGAATTCCAACAGAATTCCATAAATTTTGATTTTCCCTGTCTGTCTTAGTACTACAGCTCCAGCTCCAGTTCATCCTCCTCTGAGAGCGAAGAAAAACAGTCAGTCAAGAGCATTAAGAAAGTAAGATGACTTTAATTGTGGTTAAATTACTGAATAACTACTACATTACTACTGAATCACTAAAACAGTACTACTACATTACTACTACTGAATTACTAAAACATTACTACTTACTGTACCACTAAAGTACCACCCCATTACTACAACTGAATTACTAAAACATTACAACTTACTTTTATTGCTGCTAAAGTGCTACTATATCATTACTACTGAATTACTAAAACATTATTACTTACTGTTACTGCTAAAGTACCACCACATTACTACTACTGAATTACTAAAACATTACTACTTTCTACTACTGCTGCTAAAGTTCTACCACATTATTACTACTGAATTACTAAAACTACTACTGACTCTTACTGCTAATGTACTACTACATTACTACTACTAAATTACTGAAGCATTACTACCTATTGTTACTGCTAAAGTACTACTGCAATACTACTACTGAATTACTAATGCATTACTACTTATTGTTACTGCTAAAGTATTACTACATTACTACTACTGAATTACTTAAACATTCTTACTACTGCAAAATTACTACTATATTACTAAAATCACTACTTACTACTACTGCTAAATTACTACTACATTCTTGCTACTGGTAACTTACTACTATATTACTACATGCAACTACTGAATTGACAAAAAATCACTACTTACTACTACTGGTAACTTACTACTATATTACTACTACTGAATTACTACATTATTTACTACTAATGCTAAATTACATTACTACTACTGAATTACTATATTATTACTTACTACTACTGCTAAATTACTGCTATATTTTACTATTGCTAAATTACTACTACATTACTACTACTGAATGACAAAGAATACTACTTACAGCTACTGAATTACAAACATTACTACTTACTACACCTGCTAAATTACTATTACAGCACTACTTACTACTACTGAGTTGCTAAAAAATACTTACTACTACTGCTAAATTACTACTATATTAGTCCTACTCAATGACGTAAACATTATAAAGTAAATTATTATTACTTATTATTACTGAATACATACTATGAACTGCTGAATCATAATTACATTACAACCTACTTGTACTAAATTGCTACTACATTACTACTTAAACTACTACACTACTTACCACTACTACATTACTACTTAAACTACTACACTACTATTTATCACTGCTACATTACTACTTAAACTACTACACTACTACTTACCACTACTACAATACTACTTAAACTACTACACTACTACTTTTCGGTACTACATTACTACTTAAACTACTACACTACTACTTTTCAGTACTACATTACTACTTAAACTACTACACTACTATTTATCACTACTACATTACTACTTAAACTACTACACTACTATTTATCACTACTACATTACTACTTAAACTACTACACTACTATTTATCACTGCTACATTACTACTTAAACTACTACACTACTACTTACCACTACTACAATACTACTTAAACTACTACACTACTACTTTTCGGTACTACATTACTACTTAAACTACTACACTACTACTTTTCAGTACTACATTACTACTTAAACTACTACACTACTACTTACCAGTACTACAATACTACTTAAACTACTACACTACTACTTTTCAGTACTACATTACTACTTAAACTACTACACTACTATTTATCACTACTACATTACTACTTAAACTACTACACTACTATTTATCACTGCTACATTACTACTTAAACTACTACACTACTACTTACCACTACTACAATACTACTTAAACTACTACACTACTACTTTTCGGTACTACATTACTACTTAAACTACTACACTACTACTTTTCAGTACTACATTACTACTTAAACTACTACACTACTACTTACCAGTACTACATTACCTCTGAACATATTATATCTGTTCCCAAAAATGACTGAATTGCTACAGTTTTACATGTTACTACTAGTACTGAAATACTACTACTAGTACTACTAACTACATCTACTGAATTTCTACGATATTACTACTGTATTTTGACACTGGCTAAGTAATAGAATTGTGTGCTAGCTAATGTATCGATGTTTGTAGGAGAATGGAGAATGCTCACTTTGGGATGATGGTGCAGAGAAAAAGGTATGAACATTAGCATACAGGATTTGCATCCAGCCATCAGAGATTATGAATTGTATTGAATAAAATTATGACGAGCAATTTTAGGGACTGTAATATCACCACGGCACCATCTGTGGGTCTCTCTGGGCGTCCACACCTTCAACTCTGCTGTCAGATATTTCTGTCCACTCTTCCCACCACCTGCTAATGTGTCTGCAATTACCCCGCAGGGCGGAGGCCCTTGGGTGTCGAGTCGGCTCCCATTTCTTCACTAAACGTGTCTCATCATCACTTTTATCACAGCGCTTCTGCCTAATGGTGTTATTTCATTAGAAGAAGGGTTTCAAAGGCCCTCACAATCAGCTGTTCTGACCATCCACCTTAATCTTCGAATATTTAATAAGGGGAATGAAATTGAGGTCGAGGAGCCGAGCATCTTGGGTAATGTGATTATCCAGAGGGTGGACAGCTGCTTTCTTGTTCTACCTTCCTTAAAAAATAGACCCTAAAAATGCTGAAAAGTGAGTCGATGACTGTCTTTACCTGTTACTATTTATTACATAATAGTGTAGTTAATTGCTTTGTGTAATTAGCTAGATTAAAATTTGACTCACCTTTGGGATCAACAGCTTTTCTTGTTTGCTTTAATGTCAAAAAATGAAGGAAAATGGCAAAAAAGTAAAAATCAATGCTTTTACAATGAGCTACCTATATGACTTTGTAACACGTATAAATAATGAATAACATACTTGTAATGCAATACTTGAATATTTATTAAAGACTTTCTCTTTTAAGTTCCATTGTTTGGGAATAATGCTTTATAAAGTGTTATAAATGCAAAACTGTAAATTTTCACAGTACAATGTTACATTAAATTGTAATTAATTAATTAATTAATCTTTTTCTCTCCTTTCTTTGTCTTTTCTTTCTTTCTTTCTTTCTCAATTCTTTTCTTTTTTATCTTCTTGCTTCCCTCCTTTCTCTCTCTGTCTCTTTCTTTATTTCTTTCTTTCTGATTTTACTCTTTATTTTATTCTTTCTTCCTTAATTCTTTCATTCCTTTTTCTTCTTTCCTCCCATTCCTTTCCTTTCTCTTTCTTTCTTTCTCTTTTTTTCTGTTCCTTATATCTTTCCTTCCTCTTTTTCTTTAGTTTTCCTTCCTATTTTCTCTCTTCTTTTCTCCTTGCTTTCTTTCTTTCTTCCTTCTTTTTCTTATTTGCTTTGATATCAAAAACAACAAAAATGGAAATAAACACAAAAGTTTAATTCTATGCTTTTACAATGAGCTACCTATATAAAGTCTTCAAACACATATACCTATAATTATAAGTAGTGAATAACATATTCACAGTGCAATATTTGAATATTTATTTAAACAGCTTTGGCAGGATGACATTTCATTAAATGACTCTGAATAAAGTGACATTTCATTGCCCTAAGCCAAAGTAATAGGCATTAGTTCAATTTATAACACTGTTATGAAGCACTATGCTATGCAAGACTTAGGAATTATGCTTTATAACAGTGTTATAAATGCCAAAATATAAGTTCATACAGTACAATTTTACAATACAATGTTATTTACTGTATTAAACATCTCTGTTCTTGCAATTACTGGGATAAAGTGTTCATAATCACTGAAATATTGCCTTTTATGTGTTTATCTATAAGTATTATGCTTATGCATGTGTTATAAAGTCGCTATAAAGGTAGCTTTCAAGTAAAGAGCTGTGCATTATATAAACTTGATATGAAATTAGAACATGTCTCTTAAATGGTGGTAGGAGGTGCGGACGGAGTTTGAGGAAGGGAAGACGGGTGAAGAGTGCTTGGCTGGTGCTTCAGGTGAGATTTAATCATTTACAGATATCAGCTCAAACATTCAGCCTTTCAACTTTTGTCCATTCATTCAACTTAAACTTAACTCTTTCCTACATTTCCCAGAATTCCCTGCAGAGGCGGAGCAGGACTGCAGGAGATGTGATGATGAAGAAAGAAGAGAGGAAGCAAAGGAGAAGTTGAAGAAAAAGAAAAAGGTAGAAATTAGTTTGGTAACACTTTCTATGAATGCCACCTTTGTAAGCATCTATAAACGCATTCATAACATGTTATAATGCATGCATTGAAGAGTGAGGTTTCAAATTGAAGTATTTACTGAAGAATTTACTGAAGCACTTCAATTTACAGCACATTACAGGCTTCAAATGTCAGAGTTTAAACTAGTGCTGCCATCAGTGTTTTACCCAATGTGGGAAAGGTAATGTACACCACCGTTAGCTTGGTATTTGTCTTTACTTTACACTCTCCAAGCTGGGACTGACTTCTTTGGCACTGACAGTATAACATGTTATCAACACTACTTATAATGCATTATATTAACAATTCATAATGTATAATAAACATGGCTATAAAGTGTAATCCAGTGTAATTCTTTTTTTTATAAATATTTATAACCATGTTTATAATGCCTTATTAATACATTATAACATGTTATAAATGTGTTTACAGATGCTTACAAAGGTGACATTCATAGAAAGTGTTACCATTAGTTTTACTTTTTTCTCCAACTCATTCTTTCCTTCTTTTCCTGCCCTCTTTTTTCTCTCTTTCTTTCTTTCTTTTTTGTCTTCCTTCTTCTCACCATTCCTTTCTTTCTTTCCTTTTTTCTTTTTGTCTAGACCTCCTATTCACTATGTCACTAATTCTATTTAGAAGAAATTCATATTATACTGTATTTTTTACAATAAATACTTTGTCAAGATTTGACTTCTATTTTTTTTTAAATATGATTGATGAATTGTAGATATGAGGTTTATTATTTACTTCATTTTTATTCTGGAAACATCTAAACATGTGCTCAGCTTCCTAGTTTCACTATTACTTACTTGAATCAGCTGAAGATGAACAAACCCAGCATATTACAATCATTGTATACATTTATCTGATACCAAACTGTTTTTTTTATCACTGAAAAATTCCAAATTTTGAACATTATATGCAGTTTATGTTTTATATTATTAGAGATCAAATATATTAACAGTATTAACATCTTTTCTTGTCATTAGGAATCTGCTTCATCATCATCTTCCTCATCTTTGGACAGTTCATCTTCAGACAGCGAAGATGACAAGAAAAAGAAGAAGAAGAAAAAGAAGAAAAAGAAAAAGATGAAGAAGAAGAAGAAGGTGATCAGAATCATTCAGCTTATGCCAAACATACTGGTACAAGTGGATCAGACACAGCAGTGTTGCTGGAGTTTTTAAACACTGTGTCCACTCACTGTCCACTCTATTAGACACTCCTACCTTGTCAGTCCACCTTGTAGATGTAAAGTCAGAGACGATAGCTCTGTACTGCTGCACAGTTTGCTGGTCATCCTCTAGTCCCCATGTGTCAAACACAAGGCCCACAGGCCAGATCAGGCCCACCACTCAATCCTATCTGGCCCCCAAAAGTACTTTAATTTTTCATTAATATTAGCCTGTTTCGCAGTGTGCTGCACTACAGTCCCCAGCATGCACTGTAACGTAATGTGCTTCAACTCTCCTACCCCAACGACAGGCTATTGGACAGCGATTACACCTCAATTCTAAACAATTCTACACAGTTCCACACCAGTCATATCACCAAACACACTAACTGCAGTTCAACCAATATAAATACTTAACGTCAGCTCAGCAGCTCAGAAACTGAGCCCAAGTCTTAATGAACTTGCAGCAAAGAAAGGAGGCCAGGTGTCTAGTTCAGATCAGATAGGCAGGTTTAAAAGCCTAAGCCCCGGGGATGTTTAAATTTTGAATATTCATCTTCATATGGTCAGTTTGGGTTAAAGCAACACATTAATTAAAAATGAAATAACAACATTTTTTCCTCTGGCCCACAGTTTTAATGAGATTTTTTAACATGGCCCCTTTAGGGGTTGAGTTTGACACCCCTGCTCTAATCTTTCATCAGTGGTCACAGGACGCTGCCCACAGGACGCTGTTGGCTGGATGTTTTTGGTTGGTTCTCAGTCCAGCAGCGACACTGAGGTGTTTGAACTCCAGCAGCATTGCTCTGACTGATCCACTCGCACCAGTGCAACACACACTAACACACCACCACCACGTCAGTGTCACTGCAGTGCTGAGAATGATCCACCATCCAAATAGTACCTGCTCTGTGAGGGTCCATGGGGGTCCTGACCACTGAAGAACAGGGTAAAAGGGGGCTAACAAAGTATCAGAGAAACAGATGGACTACAGTCTGTAACTGTAGAACTACAAAGTGCACCTATATAGTAAGTGGAGCTGATAAAATGGACGATGAGCATAGAAACAAGGAGGTGAACTTAATGAAGATTATTTGTATTTGAATGACTGCTACAGTCGTGGAGTCATAACAACCGAGCACTGCAGCTGGGCTTCAGCCTGGAACTACAGATGGTTTGAAAAGTCAACCTAGAAAAATGTATTAACGTCATTAAACCGTGACGTTCATCATAACCTCATTAATGCGATATTGACATGTTGACTTTGACACCACTGCTTTATACGTAAGATAATAATTATAAACATTATCCTGAATACAATGACCTATAATAAGATTTGTGTCTGAAATTTGCTTCTATAGTTTTTGCACCAGAGCTACGAAGCTAATGTAGCTACCAATGCTGAATCTTTTATGTGTAGGACTCCAGCTCATCTTCATCCTCCCGAAGACTCCTCATCGTCTTCAGAGAGCGATGACGATGACAAAAAGAAAAAGAAGAAGAAGAAGAAGAAGAAGAAGAAAAAGAAGAAGAAGAAGGCAAAGAAGGTAAACACTGTTTGAATCATTTTGTTTAGCAGCAACAAAACAAAAAATGTATCAGTGCAATAAAAGATGACTTATCCTTAAAAGTATAGAGCCATTGTAATTGTTATATTATGATTGTTATTACAATATATTGATTAATAATTTTACTTACCCATTATTAATGGGCTTGTTTGTCATTTGTTTTCAATGGTGACAGATCTGGACTGCAGGCAGACCAGTTTAGCACCCAGACTCAGCCATGCTGTTGTAATACTTGCAGAATGTGGTTTTACATCGTCTTGCTGAAATAATCAAGGCCTTCCCTGAAAAAGACGTCATCTGGATGGCAGCATATGTTGCCAAAACATGTATATATCGTTCAACATTAATCGTGCCTTCACAGCTGTGCATGTCACCCATGCCATGTGCACTAATGCCCCCCCTATACCATCATAAATACTGGCTTTTGAACTGTACACTGATAACAAGCTGAGTGGTCTTTAGCCCAGAGGTCACAGCGTCCATGATTTCCTTAGGGCAATGCAATTCCAATCGGATTTTTACAGATGCGTCTCTGATGAGTCTTGACACTCTTCGAAGTGTCTTTTGCATCACTTGCAATGTGACAAACAAAGACAATGTCAAATCCAGAGTGATGGAAGTGCTGGGATTCAAGAAAAGCACCAAAGATTCTTACTTATACCAGAGAATTTTGAAGAGTTTGGAGGGCAAGATGATGCACCTCCAACTCCCCTGCATCCCAGTTTGAAACGCCTATGTCATTACCTCAGCAACCCATGCAGATAGGCTGGTGATGTCTGATCACACAAACCAGATCTGATCACTTGCAAATGACAGTGCAGACAGTCGTCTCAAAAGATCTGATTTGAGAAACAAATCCGATGTGCATGCAGTCGGAACACAGCCAGAATGTAAAACACAGATTGTTGTTTTGCTAATTAACTCAATTTTTTTGGGCAGGCGCAGATAAATTTAAGTCAAATTACAGAACGCAGATATTAAGTTTTTCTAACTAAATATTATATGTGTTTCTAGTACTAAGACAGCTTGTGTTGGACTAACTAACATTAACATTTTAAATGAATAGTTTTCAAATTCCTTGTTCAGGTTACAAAAACATGTTGAATAGGTCAGCAAATATAAGTTAAAGGCTATAATTACCCCAAGAGATCAGCTGTTCATTCCATATATCTCTTTCATGTATGCTCCCTTGATAAACCTGGACTAACATCAACTCAGACTGTAGTGACTACACAGTGGAAGATGACGGATGACCAAAAGACCCTTGACTCAGCCTTTCAGCTAAAGGGAATAACGTTAGTGTGCATACATTGCATGATCTGTACTTATTCTTGGCAAACTGGTTTTAAGGTTATGACAAAGCTAATGCCTTGCGTTGAGAATTTTTTTTTCTATTGATTTCTTTGTGTTATCAGTAGTGTCCAATACAGTATCAGTATGGATGCAATATTAGTAAATACTAGTGTTGGATTAGGTGTGTTAGACCACCAGCATTTGGCTTCTCCTTTACTTTTCAATGCAAGAGTTAAAGGTCCACTAAATGGAACAGTGTAATTCCCACTGCAGATAAAGTGACATGCAGGGGACAAATTTTGTTCAGAAGAGGTTGATGGCAGCAAGATGAAAGACTCCTGAAAAAACAGCAGCATTTGGGAAGCACAGAGTTCATACACAGAGTATATCAGACAAGACGATTCTTGTTGCTCAAAGGTGAGGCAAGAGGCTAACCTGGTAGCTACCATTAGCACATGTGTTTAGGGTGATAGTGAGGATTCTCTCTGGCCAATCAGTAGTCTGCACTTTTTCCATGTCTCTCCTTCTGGTCTTGGCTCAGCTGGCTTGGAACCTGACGGAGGTGATGCCAAAAACAATACCAGGTACCAGGTTTACTTAATGGAAACCCAAAAAAGGCGAGTAGAGTCTAGTGGAGTTCAGCCGGTACCATGCGGTCAAAAAGCGGCTTTAGATAATGGTGGAGGTCAGCGTGTGAAATTTCTCAAATTCTGTTCACAGGATTCCAGCTCATCTTCATCAGACTGTTCTTCATCAGACAGTGATGACGACAAGAGGAAGAAAAAGAAGAAGAAGAAAAAGAAGAAGAAGAAGAAGAAGAAGAAGAAGAGGAAGGCGGAAATGGTAAGATTCTCCACACTGAGGCATTGCAGCCCAGCTTTCCGTCTTACATCCATACTTAAACTCTCAGGTTCCTAAAAGGTTCTCAGCTCAGATGTACAGAAGAAACCTTTATACGTGTCATTTACCGAAAAACTTTCCATCCTTCGCAAAGTCCTTTAGGGAACCTAATGTGCTTTTTCCATGACTCGGGTCAAAACCTTGTTCCTGGAGATCTAAAGTCAGAGACCAACCTTCATTTATTTAATTTCCAGCTAGAGCAGACATACATTTTCCAGGAGATATGACTGGGAAGATTTGATACCAGACAATCTATTTGCATAAGGACAGGGAAAGCCAAAGGAAACAGGAGTTTCCCAAACTGGAGGTCAAAACATGAATAAAAGATCCAGAAGAAAATGGGATTCCAAACAACCACCTGCAAGACCTGATAGGTCTCTAAACATTTCCACATCAGATAAACAGCAGAGATGGAAGAAAATCTCCATTCTTACTTCAGAAAAAAATCTATCCTTCCATCCTTCCATTGTGAGAAGACAACTGTCTATACTCTGGCAAAAGAATGAAAGATCCTTCAAAGCGTCAGTCAAGCACGGTGGAGGATCGCTGCAAGTTCAGGGGACGTACAACAACATCTGGAGTCATTTTCCATGAATAAGTGCTGATAAGTACAAACGTGTTCATACGCCATACAATACCCTCCGGAAAGCGTTTGATTGGAAGACTTTAATTCGACAGCAAGATAACAGCCCCAAGCACATCATTTAGAAGACCAAGACATGTTCTCAGAGTCAAGACCTCAGCATCACTGGCCATGTTTACATGCAGCCTGATAATCCGTAAATAATCCGATTCATTGAACTCAATCAGAACAGAATATGTCCATGTAAACACCTAAATCAGAACAGACTTGTCCAATAGAGGCTACTCTGAAATCAGTTTCTATCTGATTGAACGAGGTGGGTAATCCTGTTAATAATCCTTTAAGGAGAAGAATAAAATCCGTGTAAATACCTGCATCTGATTTCATTTCCAATCGGAAAGGTAACATCTACTCTAAGTGGTGCTCTATGCATGCAGGTAAATTTGGATCGGATTACTTGTAGTGTGCAGGTCAATGGAGATTTTCATCTGTTGAGTAGAGTGAGCATATAAACACCTCAGTCTTAATCTATCTACTCGGGATGAATTCCAGTCGGATCGGTGAAAATCTTTGATGTAAACCTGTAGCCGCTGAATGGGATTATTTAGACTGTGAGAAGAAAATGTAAAACCAACTTCTAAGACTGAACTGTGGAGGGGTGTGAATATGTATCCCACATGTTACTCAACCATTTTAAGTTGAGGGAACGTTTTTGATGTTTTTATACACTCAAATGGCATTTTTGAGTTTGAATCAACTTACTTCAGTTTAGTTGGTAGCTTTGAAACCACCACGTTTAAAAAATGACTGCTGGACTGCTGATCTAATCATCTGTAGTCGTTTCTCTCTCATTAAAGTTACTCAGCAAATGTGTATAATTGATTGAATCTCAGTAAACTGTGCTGTTTAAGTGAAATACAGTGGCATGTTCGTTTTCTTACACTGTAAAGAAAAACGTTCGTCAGTGTAACGTAAAAAATTACTTCATGTGGTAACAAGTAAAATAATTAGTTTTATTTAACTCAAAAATTACTTTGATCGAAAAAATCTTTCATTCAAAGTCTTTATTTGGGGTGAATAAAACAACTTAATTTACTCATTTTTTACGTTGAACTGACAAACGTTTTTTTATAGTGTAACATGATCTTGTTGGGTAGAACTTAATCTTTCCCATTGGCTCCTGGTTCAGCCTGTTTGCATATTGGGTGCTTCTTTCCCTTTGTTTTACTTACCATCAACGTGTTTTCATTCCACCCAGGCAACCTTTCCTCAGGTGTATATGTTTCAAATGTGCTTTACTCAGCTGTCTGATCTTATGTTGTTGGCTAGAAGGGCAAATTGTTGTTGTAAGTGTTCAATATCAATGAAATGTATCAATTAAATTGTGATTTTAAGTTTGACTAGCAAAAAAGTAGAATTTATAAGTTGCACAAACTTCTGTTTATGTTAATCTAATACATTTTTTTTTAGTTTTTCTAACATGCAGCATTTAGTATCTTAAGTACATTGAACTTAAATGCTTAACTTAATTTTTTAGGGCAATGAGTTATGTGAACTTATTTGGGCTTAGAGTGTACTTGATGGCTGTTTTGACTGGAAATTAAATAAACAAAGGGTGGTCTCTGAACTTTGAACAGGACCTTCCAGTGGTGCTTAGTTCCAACCACAATCTTTCACTATAAACTCTGCAAAAAAGTCAATCTCCAGGCAGATGGCTGGTTATCACTGTTCTAGGCAGCATCTTCTTTCCAAAAATGTCCTACAATGCATGTTGAGTCAAAGTAGAAAACAATCTTCACTGTTTGTTTGACAGGACTCCAGCTCCTCATCTTCATCTGACAGCGAGGATGAGAAGGAGAGGAGGAAGAGGAGGAAAAAGGCCAAGAAGAAGAAAGGCAGGAGTAAGAAGAAGAAGGTGATGGACATTCCTTTCCAATATGTAAACATAACTTAGTACAGCATGACGAAGAACTTCATATAAAATGGAAAAATACTTTCGTGACGTACACAATCTCATTTTCCAGCCACTTTACCAGACGAGACAGGAGCTCCGTCCAATGTCTCACATGATAAATGTCCACTAACCTCATAGTGACCTCTGAGAAAAGAGAAGGATGTCATTTTAGTAGATATCGAAACTCTCAGATATTGATTTGAGGGTCCCACATCACAGAACTCTTCTTGGATCTTTTGGATCTAAACATTGTTAACATTTCAAAACATCCCATTCACTCCCTATATATGGAATCTAAGCCTGTTTTGGAGTGACATCACAAAAACATGCATTTACATGTGTCGGCCCATTCAGTGTACAGCAGTTTAGCCCCACCCATTCACACTAAAGTTAGAAGGAGTGTTTAGCCTGGACTGCTTTTTTATCAAGGCACAATGCAAAGCAGCCAATCAGAATAGAGCTCATTTACATATAAGGCGCAGCAGCAACAACAACACCCATAGGTATAGTGTAGTGGGTAATACCTTTACCTTCTATGCTTTAGACTGGGGTTCAATCCCCACCTGGTTAAGCACCCTACACTATACCAATAAGAGTCCTTGGGCAAGACTCCTAACTCTCCTATCGCCTACCAATTATAAGTCGCTCTGGACAAGGGCGTCTGCCAAAATGCCATAAATGTAAATTTATGAAATGGTTCATTGGTTCAACCTAAAAAAAATTGCTACTTTGGGGGAAAAAAGCAAAGGGACTAGTTTTATTCAACGTAAGTACATACTTTGAAGCATTGGTTCATTCAAAGTACTTATTTTGGTTGAATAAAAGCAGTTGATGTACTTATTCCGACATGAAGTCATTTTTTTGGGCTGAATTTTTTAAAGTGTATGAAAAATAAAACACAACAAAAATGTAGAGTATGGCCTTTTCAATATGTGCATATCTGGTTTCTTTAAGGAAAATTTAACATACTTTCTTTTCTGTTTATAAAAGGATTCTGGCTCCACTTTGCCTTTTGGCGATGATGAAAATAAGAAGAAAGAGAAAGAAAAGGTAAATGTAGAATTGTAACAGGGAAAATGACATCAGACTGGCAGACCATAGACTTGCTTATCTGGTTTTTGACACTGTGTGACAGTGGTCACCAACCCTGGCCCTGGAGATCTGCCTTCCTGTGGAGTAGTTCCAACCACAGTTTGCCACACCGTGCTCCTGATTGGTTGAATCAGGTGGGTCAGTGTTAGGTGAGGGGAGGGGAAGCATGTTAGGTGCAGGTTGGAACTAAACTCTGCAGGAAAGTAGATCTCCAGGAGGAGATTTCTTTGAAGTAGGACACTGTTGGCTCTCTGTGTGTGAAATGTTGTTGAACTGCTAGTGAGCAATGAGGGGTGAAATGGGAGTGCTGAGAACTCCCTGCTGTGAATAACAACTCAAACCTTTCCACATAGATGGCTGTGCCAAGATAAAGCCAAGATGCAGCTGTCTTCATGTCAAACGATCATAAAAAATAATATTTAAATACAACAAAAACACTTTTTTGCTGTGTTGTTTTTCCTCATCTTTGCACATCTTATGTGTCTGATTTTATCTCATGTTACCTTCTTTGGGGCCACATTTTTGGAAATTGTGTCCAACAAGTTGGCTTACCCAAATTTTCACAGTCCTGCCCAAAGGTTTACCTCTTCCTACACCCTAGAATCAGACAATTGACTATAGCAAGTCATGGACCTTGGTTGTTTTGGTGATGTTGAAGGTTGTACAGAGTAAACTGTACCACAAGCCGCTGGAGAAGCATTGCGCGACAGATTGAATGGAGTACAGCTAGCACAAACAACCTCAAGTTAAAGCTCATCTCAAGTTCAGTGCAAATTTCAAACCTTGACCAACTAGTGGTTTGGATCTGGGTTTAACCCATTAAATAACCAGCGTCCACCAGTGCGGCCAAAGTTTTACCACACACTTCTATAACCTAAGAATAGCTCAGCCAGGTTGCACTGAAGTCCCTGTAGTTACTGGATAATATACCTTAGTATGTAATAAGCCTGGGATTTTACGGGGTTAAGTTTGGTGAGGCTGAAACTGGCTTCCTTTTTGCCAGCTTCTTAATCAAACTTACTATTCCATCTTACATGCAACAGTCACAGGCATCACAGTGCAACTGTGGCACCATTTAAGGTGGAATCAAAAATTTGAAAAATAACCTGGTGGACAAGAAGTTAACTTTGGCTTTGTTTAACTTTGTGCAGTAATGGAAAGATGATCAATGGCAGTACTGGAAGTCAATGGTGGTGTGCACATTCATTTAAACCAAAGGCTTTGACTTTTTGGACACTGTATAACTACATCCAGGACCACTT